ATGCACCATTTTCATCCCCATTCTATTTTAGTTATATTTGCATCTACAATTCTAATTTTGATCTATATTGAACCTAAGTTAAAAAAAAAAATATTATGGAGATACCTAAATTTGTTCTACAAATTCTAGATTATTATTTTAAGAATTGAAAGTTCTTAAGATCAAGTGTAAACTAGGGATAATTTCAAAAAGCTCCCCTTAGGTTTATGACTATTTCACTGGCTACCCTTCAGGTTTTAAAAACTACACTAACCTCCCTTGAAGTTTATTGTCTTATAATATCTAGGTCTAACCAATAATTAAAAAATGATATTAGGAGAGAGAAGATGATATGATTCCACCATTGCCCCTCATCTACTAAATTGTTTAATTAATCTAATATCAACCCAAACATTAAAGAAAACACTAAAATTTGTTGTTTATCATCAAGGAATAAATGACATATGGAAACAAAAATAGTATATCATTCTATATATTTCACTTAATGTAAAATCTAAATTACTCTTTTCAATTACAAACCCATTGTCAAACATGATTAACAACAAATAATCAAAAAAATTTGTAACCAAAATATTACAAAGAGCGATTAATAACATAAAATCTCAATAACTAACCTTAATATGCTGACAAGAATAGTTATGATGTTAAAGTTTGTTCTGTGTAATATTTGGTTGCAAATTTTTTAATTATTTGTTGTTGATCATGTTTAACAATGACATATAACTGAAGGAAGTAATTTGGTTCTTGTATCAAGTGAAAATTATAAATTGATATACTATTTTTTAATATTATACATGATTTGATCCCTAATGCTGAACAACAAATTTTAGTGTTTTTCTTTAATGTGTGGGTTGATATTAAATTAATTAAATAATGTAGTAGATGAGAGCAATGATGAAATCATATTATTTTCTCTCTCCTAATAGTACTTTTAAAATATTGAATGGAGTTAAATGTTACAAGATAATTAATCTCAAGGAAGGTTAGTGTAATTTTTGAAACCTAGAGAGAGGCTAGTGAAATAGTTAGAAACTAATTTCAGCGGTGGTTTCTGAAATAATCCCTTTAAACTAAGCAAAGGTAAAATATTTAATTTAGTATTTAAAATTTATTTGAGGTGTTTTCAAGGCACAACAAGAAAATTTCTTCACAATAACAAATTTTGAGTGATTTTCAAGAGTTTTCTAACCTATTTTCTTTTGTTTTTAAATATTTTGAAGTTTTTGTCTAAATGTTGCACATAAACTAAGGCAATTCCTACTGCAATTAGCTTCAAATGGTAATAGTGCTAGTTTTTGTGATTTTTTTCATGATTTTACACATACAATAACAATATTTTGGCATATTGGTTTTTGTTATTTCAAGTGAAAATTTTATCAAAATTGATTTTTGGGGATGAAAATGGTATATTTTTGTGTATGTAAGGGGGAGGGACTAAGGTCGTCATTTTAAAAGTGAGGCATTAAAAATGTACAAATTAAAATATAAGAGATACATTCCTGTTGCTTTAAAAGTAAGGAATTAAAAAGTACAAGTTCAAATGTGAGGGCTATATCTGCTGTTTTCCTATAGTAAAGTGGAAGAATCTTCCTTACAGTCGAATGTAAAGTTAAGATTTGACACTTGTTAAGCAGTGCAGCAGTATGGGTAGTAGGATAGGAACAGTTGTCATTACAACTGTTCACGAATAATATAACACACTTTGAACAACTTGTAAGTCTACGTGAACTACTTGTAAAATTTTGTAAAAGACATGCAATTATTATGTATGGTACTCACACGAACGAATCGTAACAAAATATTATATCATAATTATATTGTAAGATTATGCAAATAATTAAAAAGGAGTTACAACTTATTTAGACAGTGTTACACTGTTCATCAAGAATGAGTGTCCTAGTCTAGGTGTCTGATAATGATGATTGATATTCAAGTAAACGTTGCTGTCCTGTTAGTTATCCTGTAATGCCTCCTTGCCTATTGCGTATTTGGTTTTAGCTGTTCTAGTGGTGAGGTGCACAATGCATGCCTTTTGGACAGAAATTTTCCTACTTGTCATGTATATTTGACTAATAACCCTTCTACAAAGTGGGGTACATAAAGTTTGGATTGTATTTTTTAGAAGTAAACTCTTAACACTTTCTTAAGATGTGATGGATATAATATAAAAAGATAGTTAAAAATTGTGTTTAAGAAATATTTTCAAAAAACTCAAAAAAATTATAAAAAGAGCAACAATCCAATTTTTTTTTTGAAATGTTTCTAAGCAAAGGTGCATTGTCTTAAAAAAATTCAACTCAGTATTGATAGCAACTGCAATTGGATAATTGGATGATGATAACTTTTCTAATTCTACTCTCAAGTCCTCTTTGTCCCTTTCTCTTTACAAGATTTAGAATCTCCTTAAACTTTAACACTCTAAAGAAGAACATAAAAATTAAGTACATGGAATTATTGAATTCCATAAATTCAAGAGTATTGAGTTGACATATTTGGATGAAAGGATGTAAACTTAGATTCACTTATTTCTTTCTCAAAATATTGATTGAGCAATAAATAGTCGCGGATTAGATTGTTGATCAATTGAATAGCCAAGAGTTCGATCGGGTAGAGGGCAAACTTTTTTTGGGTTAATTACACCAAAACTCTAACCTATTGAAAGAATTTTCTTTGAATGTATAATAAGAATTCTTAAATTCGTCTACTTGGTTCTTCAGATGTCCCATGTCTACTTATTTCTTGAATCAGCAAGGCCTCAATTTGGTGCAATGTCTAATCAGAGAAAATGGAAAACCCCATTTAATGCTATAAATACTAGATAGAGAAATTTGAAACGGAGTATTTGCCCAAAATAGTTTTGATACTTGAAAGTAAATCAACAATTCCTCGTGAAAAACCTAAGACCTAATTTAGTCAATATGACAACATTGATATCCGTGTTTCAACTCTCAAACTCTCCCCTTTCTCTCTTTCTTGTAAAACTTGAAGTCTCATCTCTCTAGTTGGCAGGGCTACAAATGAGACTAATTAAGCCAAACACCATAGTGTTTAAACATACTTGATTATTTTAATAAATTTAAAATTTTGTTCAAATTTGACTTATTTATTTGTTGAACTGAATTTGACCGAACTTTTTATCGAATTTGAATGCTATTAAATGTATAATGCTTTTCAAATTTAACTTGACTAATTAGCAAACCAATTTTGAACGAACTCTTACCAAATCAAAATCGGTTCGAGTATCGAATGGATTGGTTTATTTTCAATCCTACTAGTTAGATATTTCTTTGTCTAATTGATAATACTAGACTGGTCAGAGACCAATTACTAGACTTGCACTTGCTAGTCCAGTCTAGTAGGTAGTTTGGATCGACATAAATTTCTTGTGATTACAAGGTATCTCCCTTCAAGCCAGAAAAATAACATAAATAAACACCACTATGTGATAATTTCAATAAATTTCAACATAAAGTTAAATTTGACCAAAGAAATATAAATCCGACGGGGGATGAAGAAACCTAATTGAATACACCACACCAATCATTTAATATCCCATTACTTTAATCTTAAAAATTGATAAAAAAAAAATTAGCATAAAGTTAAATTTGACCAAAGAAACATAAATCTAGCGGAGGACGAAGATACCTAATTGAATACATCGAACATTTTATATCCCATTACTTTAATCTTAAAAATAAAAAAAGGGAAAAAATTAGTTTGAAAGCACAAACACAATAAATAAATAAGGATCTGTACTGGACATTTTTTAAGATATATATATTTCAAATGTCATTTTTTTAAAATGTTCCCCAGAGGATGTGGTATATTTTGAGCCATCACTTAGCACATAGGCCCTTGGGACCCAGTAGTTGCAGGCTCAGACACGTTACTTGCTTATTTGCATAATTAGTAATTAATATTGCCTAGTTGGATAATTACAGGTTGTTTTCATTATTTTCCTTTTTTCTTTCTGTTAAAGAATTATGACAGGTTCAACGCTTCGAACCAACTCTTGGGCCTCACGCAACCTTCCCCAACTTGCTCCCCAAGAAAAACTGAATCGGCATTCTTTTGAGCTTTTATTATTAAAGAAACATTTCTTGCTCTCCTAGAAACTTCGGAATATTCCTAAATTCTCCCCAGCTTATCTTTTTTGAATATTCTAGTCAAATTAAGTTACGGATTAAGATGATAACAAAAAAAGCCCACCTTCTATGTTTAAGATATTTACTCTTTCTTTGGTCCAAATTCCAAATGCATTAAAAAAAAAGGTCCATGATATTGATTTGATTAACTTTGCATTTCAACTAGGTTATATTCTCACGCAAATATATTTTTTTGTTCAAATTCAAAGTAGAAACTTTTTAATGAGTGCCCCAATTCATGTCAACTCATTAATACACCCTAATTTCCGTATAATTTATCATTTGATTATAAACACTCGTACATAAGCTTTTCCAAATCTAGTTTTATATTTTCAAAAAAATTCAACACGAGAGGACTCTCAAGTGTCCAATGTACATTGTTAGACAACATTAGATACACGGAGAGTTTCACGAGATTTCTTTTTTTATTATTATTATTTTATTATTTTCTTCTCTTTTCTCCTTTTTAGGGGACAGATTTTACTAGTATCCAAAGTCAAAATTGATCTCATATTATGATACATTTCTAGAGAGAAGTTTTAGAAGTTTTGGTCATCATAAATTAAAAGACCATTTTGACCTTTACCAAACCCTCTTTGTGATGATATACATATGTTAATCCTCAAAACCTTCTAGGCAATTTAGTCCTTTGTTGCATCTCTAGACTATAGTCAAAGAGGGTAGACAATTAAATATATGGTCATTTTCCACAGACAAAAAGGAGAAAAAGAAAACAATAATAGCAACAAAATAATAATACCATTTTCCACCGCCATACAAATTACCATAAACCAACTCATGCACGTGACCCATAAAACCATACTATAAAATCCCCCTTCATCACACAAGGGGGGAAAAAACAAGAAAATTCTGCGCCTCAAAAATTTCTTTCCAAAGATCTCGTAAACCTTAAAAACATCAAGAAATCTTGTTCTTCTTTCTCTCTTGAAAGAAAGATGATGAGCCGTGGTGCAACAAGGGTTGCCCGGTCGGTGATCGGCCACATGGGGCCGCGTTATTTTTCCGGTGCAGCCATGGGTCCGCACGACACCAGCTTGGGGAAACTTTTTGCATGTGGAGCCACGGGTTTCTTGCATGGCAATCCAGCTAAGCCGTCGGAGAACGTGATGGTGGCGTGGTTTGGGTATGGAGGAATTGGTTCACGCCAGGCGAGCACGTTGGCTTTGGGTGATAAGAAGGTGGAGGATGAGGAGGAGGTGAAGGCGGTGAAAAGTGGTGCAGCTGGTGGTGCCACGGCCGCGGCGGGTGACGGTGGAAATGGGAATAAGGAGGTTGTGAGTTATTGGGGTGTTGAGCCGCCTAAAGTTACCAAAGAAGATGGTTCTGAGTGGAGCTGGAATTGCTTTAGGGTATGTATGAGCCAAAAAAAAAATGTTAACAAGGGATGAATTTGACTTTTTTTTTATATTTTTGTTCTTTGGGTTTTTTATGTTGGATTTATTTTGATTTTTGATTGAAAATAATATTTGTATGAAGCCCTGGGAGACCTACAAGGCAGACCTGACAATAGATCTGGAGAAAAAACATGTGCCAGTGACATTCTTGGACAAGTTTGCACTTTGGACCGTCAAGACCCTTAGGTGGCCCACCGATTTATTCTTTCAGGTATTTTCTGATAAATTTTTGAATTTTTTTAGCTTGATTTTCTTATTTTTCTCTTAACTGTTCCAAGAAATTTGTAAATCTCAATTGCTAATCTAGATCTAATTCCCTTATTGAACTAAGAGAAAAAAAAGATTAGAAGAAAAAGGAAATATATTTCGTTATTCTCATATATTTTTCTAAGGGACATTTTGTATATCTTTCACAACGTAGAAAAAAATGAAGAAATACATAAAGAGTGTGTGTGTGTCATAAAGTGTCATAATTGTTGGGCGATTGGATCTTCAAAAACCAGAATTTTGAATTGATGGCATGTTAATCAGTTGCAATTGTCCAAGTCAAATGGCATACAATTGATAGTTCAGAGTTGCAGTGGTAACAATTACGTGCAAATTGCTTGATTGTTTCTTGATGGTCTACCATAAAACAAACAAAGAAATTGAAAAGGATAAAAGGGAAAAAAAAGGAAAAAAAAAAGGATCAAGACATTAGGCAGTAGGGACCTGCAATAATCTCAGAGTTGGACCTAACTTGTTGCAAATTGAAACAGAGGAGGTATGGATGTCGAGCAATGATGTTGGAAACTGTGGCAGCAGTCCCCGGCATGGTTGGAGGGATGCTGCTTCACTGCAAGTCATTGAGGCGATTTGAACATAGTGGAGGCTGGATCAAGGCTTTACTTGAAGAAGCCGAGAATGAAAGGATGCACCTCATGACCTTCATGGAGGTTTCAAAACCAAGATGGTACGAACGTGCACTCGTTTTCGCGGTCCAGGGAGTTTTCTTCAACGCATACTTTTTAACATACATTCTCTCACCCAAATTGGCTCATCGCATCGTGGGGTACTTGGAAGAGGAAGCAATTCATTCCTATACTGAATTCCTCAAGGAATTGGATAAGGGCACCATTGAAAATGTTCCTGCTCCTGCTATTGCTATTGATTACTGGCGCATGCCTCCTGATTCGACTTTGCGCGATGTTGTTATGGTTGTCAGGGCTGATGAGGCTCATCACCGCGATGTTAACCACTTTGCATCGGTAAGGGCACTCAGAATTGTGTTATTTCATGATCCGTTATAGTCATGCTCGTCAGATTTTGTTGCCTGCAGGGCAGTGTTAGGCCTTTTCTTGATGCTTGATTTTGGATTGGATTTTGACGCAGGACATTCATTATCAAGGACATGAGCTGAGGAAGGCTCCAGCACCACTTGGTTATCACTGAAGGAAGCGCAGGTCTGGTGATGATACACAAGCAGATGGTGTTTATCTTCTGGCATAAAAGGCTGAGAAATAATGATATTATACTGAACTACAATCCTGACTTAGTTTTCTAGATGTATATATTACAATACAGCACGAGCCAGAGTCTGAGTTGTTTGATAACTTCTTTTCCCGGTTGGATTTAAGATTTTTGGGCAGTAAAGTTGTTATAAAAAGTATACTATTGTGGTTTTGCTATTATTTTCAGTTTTATGCATCTTTGGAGTTGTATTTTACTATTAGATGCTAATATGGTCTTCCATTGTTCTTCTTGTCTCCAAATGGCAGGGTGATGCCCTGCTTACAATTTCAAAATGTTTGGAAAACTACAGAGGCTCAGTATGTTTCCAAACAATTAACATCAATTACTGCTTCTTCCGCCGATAATTGTATCTGGTAAGAGAACTGGAAGGAAGCTTGCTTGCAATATATGTCACAAGTATTGAAAGAATCAGAGCATTTGGAAATATTCATAGACCAAATGTTTGAGCCGTTAATTACCTGGAGCATTCCCAGGTGTACTTCACTTTTCCAAGGCACAGAAGTTTTGCAAAATTGGCAGACTTTTTCCACATGGAAGATTCTTGAATTTGAGGTTGTTTGACCAATTTGAGCACGTTATATGGAATTTCAATAGGATTATCATAAAAAAAAATGTTGCAAAGAACTTTTCAAGCTTCCTGATAAGTTCTGAGGGGAGACAAAGTTGACTGGACAGAATAGTTCTGTCTTAACATCTATCAGATGACTCGTTTCTATTAACCTGAGCCTAAAGCATGAGGAGCTTTGCCATACTACTAGCTAATAGTTTTATAGAAACTATTAGTAATTACTAATGTCAGGGACAGGGAAAGGGTTGCATGACACACTTTGACATATTGGAATCTTGCTTGTTGATAAAGATCAGGGGCTTGATCAAGTCATGCAGGCTGGTTTTTTTGCAATATATCAAGGGAAGTGAAAGGATGTTATAACATCCTGTCTTGGCATATGTGAATCTTGTTTGGTGATACATATTAGGAGCTTGATTTCTGGGCTTTTATAGGCAACTGAGCTTGTGCCTGGAGGAGAGAAAACAGGGTACACCATGCAGGAACAAAAGTGTATATGGGAGCAATTATATTCTAGATTTTGATCATTATATTAGGCAGCAAGTCCATAGCAGGGGAACAGTTTTAACATATGAAGACATGAGAGGTTGAATTTCCAAAGGAAGAGGAACAGTTGGCAGGAAAATACCCAAAGCAGTAGCCCCTAATTCAGTTGACTGTTCCCAAAATGAAGAAGCAATGGCTTGAGCTGAAAAGGAGAAACAGAAAATGATGTTGGCTGGCTGTTTCTCAAATTTGCGGTTGGTGTAAGATCAAATAATTGGCTTATATTCTGACCTCGTGAGGCAGAGTCAAGGCTGAAAAGTTATAGCCTTCTAGTCCAAGAATTGGCCGAGAGATCGGCCTGGCTGAAGCCCAGAGAAGTGAATACAAATTTGACCGTGGTTATTAAACTCGGGCGACAAGGAACGTGGCACAGAGATAAGGTCAACGACGTCACTGGTTGGGTCAACCTGTGGACATTAATTTAATATTTATAAATATAAAATAATAATTTTAATATACGTAAAATATCTAATAAAGTGCTTTTAGATACCACTCAGAAAGATATATAATGAACATATAAATATTAATACAAGATTTAATTTCATTTTATTATACTTTTACATAAAAAATAATATAGTCAAATATAAAATAAAAATGTGTCACTTGGTTTTAAAGACATAGCATCATTATTTTATTTTATTTTATTTTTTATTTAAAAATAAAATAATTTTCCAACTACTCAAATATTGCCATTTTGAAAATTAAAAGGATTAATCTATGACAAAAAGTAAATAAGTTTATTTAAAAATTATTCAGTTATCAAATAAAAAGTAAGCAAGTGGCAAAGTCTTATGCACATTTAAATGAAGATCCAATGTACAAGTCTTACCAAAAATATATATACATTTTGTTTCAACAATAAAGACTCCATAATTGTATGCATTAATTTTTTATACACTAACAGTATAGTGATTTTTTTATATTAACATTTTTGGATGAATGTCACATGTGCATGATTTAAATTTCAAATTTAAATTCATATTATATGGTCTGATCTAAACCTGCTAATATAACAAAAATTATACACTAAAAGTTATTCTAATTGTATTAAAAAGAGGTCAATTTGAAAACCGAACTAGTTCTCAAATGAGCCAGCGGGTCAAATGGATTTGACCAGATTTAATCGGATCAACTCCTTGTCTGATCAACTAGAGATGCAACTTAGCGTGATGCTTAGGTCACTAGGCCAACAAGTTCAACCAGAAGACGGGTTGGGTTTAATAACTATGGTTTTGATAGCCTCCACATTCAATTCAGATTTATTTATAGAAAAAAAGACTTTTGGTAGCACCAAATTGTTTTTAAATAATTTGCTTAAAAGAAAAAAGGTTTGGATGACTAGAATGCAACAAAGGCAACAAATTTAGGTTAGATACTAAGGGGTGAGTGCCCGCACATTGCGCGGGTGTTTGGTGACTGTAGTTGAAAAAGATTTTTCATTGAACAAATAATAGTATATTTTGCAAAGAAACAGTCATCAAATATGACAAAACAAGTTTGGAATTTATTGTCCAACTCTAAAGAAGCTAGAATCTGATGCTTTTATGTAAAATGTGTTCAACATCAGTATATAGCATGAGTAGAGGTGGCAAATCAACTCACTTAATTAAATTTACCCATACCCGCCCATGAATAAATGGGTATGGGTATCTTAAATTTTTGTATATGGGTATAAATAGGTTACCCAATAATACTAAATGGGTATTATTGGGTAACCCATCAAATCCAATTAACCCATTTAGAATTCTCTTCCCCCCAAGTCTCTTCTTTTCCCCCACCCATTTTTTTTTTCAAAATTTTCATTTTGTCATGATGTTAACTACTTTTATTTCATTATTATTATTGTTATTATTATTATTATTATTTGTTGGTTTTATCTTATTATTTTCTTTTCTCTTAGTTTGTTAACTTGCTCATTTTTCAGCATTACTAATTTATGATAAATTTTAGCCTATTTTCTTATCTTTCTAAAATGAAAATTTAAATTTATATATGAAAAAAAATTTAGGGGTTCAAAATTTTTGGATTAAGTTTTATATTAATTTTTATAGTACTTAGTTCAAAATTTTATATTCTTATTATTCAATTATTAAATAATAGGTAATTTTGTGACATAGAGTATAAATGAAAAAAAATTGGTAATTAAGTGTATTGAACATTATAAATAAATATTTAAAATTAATGACGGGTACAAAGAGTGGTATAAATTGATAACTTAGTTTGCAAAAATGAATTTTAATGAGTTTACAAAAAGTTAAAATAAATGGGTTATAAATGGGTAATTGGGTTACCCAATTCATTTTTTGACTTACTCATTTATACCCATCTAATTAAATAGGTATAAATGAGTTGACTCACTTTTACCCATTATCCATTTTACCCAACCTAAACCCGCCTAAGTCACCCATTTTGACACCTCTAAGCATGAGTATTTGTCCGCGCATCGTACTTATGAAGTCCTAAAGGTCAGAAGAATCAAGTATGAAGAAATACCTAGGAATCTGGGACACCCACAAGAGTCTCCTTCTTTAATGAAAGCGTGACAAATCTAGCAAAACCCTTTGCTTTCCTATATGTTTCAATGTCTTAACAGTTCACCAAATAATTAAATTCCCCCATTCTCAACATATGTAGTTTACAAATTTTTTTTCCTTTTTCACAGCTCAACTAACAATAGGCCCCCAATCTTTGAAATTAAGAAGAAATACAAAGAGCAAAACAAGTAGTCATTGGGTGAGATTCTTAACAGCTAGGTAGTGGTAAACTTTGTAGAACCATCAGATCCTAACGCCATCATGGTTATTGCCTTTGTCCATGTTCGTTTGCAGTATCACTTCATCCTCTGATCCTTCTCTTCACCACAGCAACTGCTAAACACAGCAAGTCAAGTTCCATTAGAAACAAAAGAAAGTAGATGTGATCAAACAAAACAAATAGTAATACAGTAGATTAAATGTTTAAGTTCGGTGGATTTTGAGATTAGGTTTGGTGCATTCAAATGTTTGTACTATAGGCAATTTGAGACTTTGTAGCGGCGGTATGGTGCCTTTATAACCTGAAAGGAACAAAATTAAGACACCTACAAAGATTTTGCAGATTTACGAACAACCACAATCTCAAATTTAAGGATATGAGCTAACACTGCTGCTACACACCAGAAGAACCACCCATATAAACAACAAAATTAAGGTTCAAAACTCACCACAAGCTGAACCACCACGAATAGCTGCAACTGAAGACCATGCTTGAATGCTGAGTAAAAAGGCAACAAAAAAAAAAATCCAATCCCGGAAACCGATGCTCAAACATTAATTCATTAACATACCCACATTTATGGCTGTTAAATTGAGATGTAAATGGCAGAGAAATGGGTTGTTTCCGACCTGAGCTTTAACATTGTTGGGAGTTGTGCAAGTGATTAGACATAAGTTATTTCAGACAAACGAATATCCTCAAACAGTTATCTTTGTTTTAAAAGCCACACTTCAATTAAATGTATCTATAATACCATTTTAGCAATTACACCAATGCATAAACTTACATGAGTTGTAGCAAAGTAATTACACATTCCATAAATACCCAGTTGTCTCCATAAATCAAAGCTTTAAATGTATAAAAATAAGAGCATTTTAGTCAACATACCCAAACACATGCTGTCCTCAGTTGTACCAAAAGGTTTAAAAAAATTACATAACATTCCACATTTCCAGAAAGCCCCTATCCATGCGATTGAAATTGAAAACTTCTTTTGACCACAACTCATTTTATATAGTATAAAGAAACATCTTATAATCAAGAATAAATTAGCACCTACTAAAGACCAAATTTGCTTTCTTTTAATCTTTTTTTTTCATTTAATTGAATACTTTAATTTCATAAATTTTTTCTGTTGGGATTAGTCTTTCAGTTAATGCCAGTGTAAGATTTTGTTCAACAAACTTAGAGGTTATATACATGTGCCATGAATTCCTTTGGTTCTCCTATTTATTATGTAATTAAAATAGAGGGATCGAAATGGAAAACATTTACTATCAGTTCATATGGTACAATATATTTCTAGTCGGACAAGATTTTTCTTTCTTTTTTTTAAAGTTGCTAAACAGCTACTCCTAAACATGAGAAGATGAAATCCATAGCATAGAGCTCATTGTCAACTTTCTTAGCAATTATTTTTCTGGCGGGAAAGTTTATTAGGCAGCTTTCATGGAGAGTTGATAATTGTGATCTGTTTATCATGATCCAGCATAAAATCTTTCTTCACAATTTTCAGTCAAATTCCAAGCCACATTAACAAAATATATTTCTAACTTCTACTAGTTTTTTATATGATTAATTCAAGGAAAGAACAAGAAATGAGATGAACTCGATAAAATCAAAAATATTTGATGCATACTTCCATAAAAAACTTCAAGTAAAGGAATATTGTTGAATTTCTTTTGTTACTAAACATGCATGAAAGATGGTGCTGTCAGAATTATTTGCATCCAAAGCTATTAGAAAGGAGTCCAGAAAATACATTTTGTTGGGAGCACTACTCAAAAAGTTCAAATGAGGTACCAAGAATCAATGTGATTAAGATTGGTAACTTATACACGAGAAATAACATTACAGCTACTACTCTTAAGTATCCTTCAGAAAACATGCCATGAAGGGCTGGCAAGAAATACAGCAAAAAGCAATACACATCTCCATCCATATTCATCTCTGCCTCTCTCACGGTATACTGGACCGCTCTCTTGGAAAAATCCAAGAGAAGGTAGATAAATACTTGAAACATTATGACCAGGATGATAACAAAAGGTTTGTTGATGCATATTAGGGGCCTGATTTTGAATTTTTAGACCACTGGGCATATGCGTGGAGAAAAGGAATGAGGGAATGATATGAATCCAACCGCAATTGGAAGAACTTGTATCCCGCAAAGCCCCTGATCTAGATGAATAACTAAGTTGGAGTTGCGGAAACTCTTGGCCTTTCTAACCCACGAAATTGCAAATCTTGAATTTAATCTCAACTCACAACTTAACAAGATAGTGAACCAATATTTTTGATAGATCACGTGACAACCAATTATGGTTTATTGGTTGATAAGTCAAAAAACACTTAAGAATAATTCTAAAAGTATTCAATTGAAGGTCTCTTAGACAAGAGAGTTGCGAAACACACGTGTGTTTGCTGAAAATTTTCAATCGTATTAATCTATCAAAATAACGTTGGTATAAGGCCCTATTTATAGCCTTTATAAGTCTTAAGAAATCTACTCAAATTTGGAAACAAATTACTACTTTCTTAAAATCCTAATTCAGCCTTGTCATTGGTCAACATGACCTGGCTTTATTTTCTTAACTTAACGACTCAACTAACTCTTAAACTAACTCTAATTTATCAACTAACAATGCTGA